TAAAACAACCAGATAAATACACTGGGGATCCTTTTTTCATAACCCCAAAGAGCAACTTTTTTGGGTTTTTTTCCTCCATTTTTGAGTTGCAAGCCTTTTAAATTCCTCAAATCTGCTTGTTATTATATTACTCCTAAAATTCCAGACTGAATATGTACTCCCAGAATGATTCAAGGTACTCACTGTAATAAAATCCTAATGCAATGATAAAATGTATCACATTTTTAAAAACCCATTGCTGTTCTGTTTTATGAACCTAAAGAAAACTACCATACGTTTCAAGTATACTGATCACCTATAATACCACAAGTTTTATAATGCTTTATTTTGCAGTATTTGTAGGACAGGGTGGGAATCAATTTGAATTTCAAGGTTCATGATACAAAGTATTCCTACTCATCCTGAATCTGCATTCATTATGAAAACTTAAGACTACCTTTCATATTTGTAATAAAAAGAAAGTTCTGTGGTAAGTAAACTCCAATCTTTAGAATACTACACATTCGGTATTCATCAAATTAAACATTAAATTTCATGGAAGAAAAAAATATAGATGAGCAGTTATATAATAGTTTTTGGGAAACTACTGTACAGTCACCACACCACATAAGGCTTTATTTCTCCTTGGTCACAATTTCCCCCAACTAAATAGTAAGACAATGTGCTTAAAGAAAGAATTCTTTTAGTAGCTATTTACATCAAGTCATCTCTATCAGAGATCCTATAAAAGAGTCTCCAGTTCAACACCCAAACCTCACCACTCAAACACTGTTTTTCCACATTGACAGAAATTCTTTTAAAACTCCAGACTTTAAAAATAACAGAACAAAGAAAAAGAGATCTAATATTCATTCATTTTCTTCTAACCAAAATATAACTCCTGATTCCATTCTGGTACCAAATTTTGACCCTCTGCTTTAGATACATTTAAGAGATATTCAAAAACAAAGTGTGCATATGCACAAATGAGGAACTTGTCAGTTCTATCCCTCAGACAACCACAATTTATATAATATTGCTGGCCTCATAAAAGGGAATCCATTACCATCAGCAATTCATGTCCCTGCTTCAGCATCAGATGCAAACAGGATATGGAAACAAGATCTCTCCCCTCCATTTACTTTTTGTTCATTCCACCCTCTGGTCAAAATCCTTAGCTCCACACCTTGGTCTGCTTCTTCATCTGACACTCCTGGCTTTTACTTTCTCAAATCTTAGTGACCCTACTGGTGTTATATTTCTGATTGTTGTGTTATATAACTACTACTGAATGAGTTTACTCATCCCCCAACCCTCTCCCTCAGTCTCCTGAAAAATCTACTACTTAAGAAAATAAATCTTAAACAATTTAATTCATAGATCCAAATGTATACATCCTCAAAGTCACCCTACCATATTCTGTTGAAAATTCAAATTCTTTTTTATCTTTTTTACTTCTCAGTAGTAGTAAGGATTTTTTAAAGAAAAATATTTCTCTGTTTGGAAGATATGAGCATACAGGGATTGGCTAAACAGCATATGCTTTTCCCTCAGTCATCATCCATGTAACAGTAAATTATATTTTAAAAAACAAAACCCACACCTGATTGTGTATCAATAACCTGAAAGGGCAGATTGAGAAAGTACAAGAATGAAACAACTTCACCCAAGCTACAAACTAAGGCAGTTTTCATGGAAGAGAAGAAATCATCTGAAGATGTACAAGCTGTTTATTTTAGAGAAGGGAGAGGAAAATGGGAGTGAGACAAACTATTCCGCTTTTTATTAATCTGCACTTTAAAAACTGTAGGGGATCTAAACTTTGAAAAGCAAAACTGACCCTTAACACAGTTTAAAGTAAACAATTTTTTCTTGATAAAAATTAGATGTTTTAAGTGTATTTTTAGCAGAATTATTTTTAACTTTATACACTGAACTGTTATTGCTTTTCCAGAACACTTAAAACAAGTTGCTTATAATCTTTAAGTTTTAAAATTAAAAATCTAATTCCTTTAATCTCATACATCCTACAGCACTCTGATTTACAATCACTTCTACATCAAGTCTTGTAGTGATGGGGTGCAAAGGAATCTGTGCAATTAATAATAACCTTCTTTCCTTGAATCTTTCTAAAGGGCCAAGGATCTCCTTATCTTCCTATCTGTCCCATTAGATTGACATATTTTGCCTCATTTGTCACCTTCTATAGAATTCTGCTTTCAGATATGAGTTAATTCATTTTTAGTTGTCCTCAATGTTCTAAAATCGTGATGTCTGACAGAATTAATACAGTGCTCCAGTTCTCTCTGTTCAACTGATATTTAATTAAAGATCTTGGAGGCCATCTTTCTCTCAGGCTACTCTGGTTAAAGGAGGAACATTACTTCCTCCTTGGACAATGTGATAAGCCACATGGCTGCAAAGCTGCCTCCTAAAGTCTCCAGTTTAACAGACGCTTTACTACAGACTGCTTTACTACATAAAAACTAGCTACCAAACAGATTACCACTTTATTCCACATTGATTTTACTCTCACCTATCTCAACAACTCTACTATTGCGTACATTCTCTCTAACCTTTTCAGTTTCCAAAATTTTTGTAGGTGTAATGCTGTTCTGTATTTTTATCATGGCTTTTGTTTCCCCCTGGACTTCAAAACACCTTTGTAAGATTTCTTAAATCTTTGATAACGCAAAAAATCTCCTAGCAGTCAAAGCTATCTTGGAGCACAAGATGAAAACTCTGTTTTAAATTCTTTGGAATTAATATCTTTTGGAGAATAGCCCACTCAACTTGATATGTCATAATTTTCTATTCCTAAAGGTAGCCCGGATAATTTAAATTGGCACTTGCTGTTTATTACTAAAATCATTGTTCTCTTGGATGGCCTTTGGAAAGCTCGCACTTCTTAATCATTTTTTGACTATATTGGAACCACAAGAGACATGTCAAATTAAGCAAACTTCAGGAACAATAAACTAACAAACCGACTCTAGGTGGTGGTATAGGTTATTTTTTATCACAATGTTTTGCTCTCAAATCTGCAAGAGTCAGAAGAGCCTTAGCTCTTCCTCTTCCACACACATTTCTTATTGCAAACTTACAATGTTTGAGTATGTTTAAATTATGAAAATCCAAGTTCTATCGTTTGAAGATGTACGTAAGAAGTAGTTCTAAGTTAAATTTTTCCCATAGGCATTAAACCCGATTTTCACCTACTTCAAAGACAGTGTAAAGGAACTAATTTGTGTAAAGTAACAATGGAAAAGTACTTTTAAAAAAATATATGCTTTCTCCAATTCCTAGGCCACTTTTAAAGGTAAAGTTTGGAAAGAAGTCTTTCCCCACTAGGGTATGAAACAGCCGAGAGCAATCAACCCTACAGCCTTCAGGGTAGTACTTGCTGCATTGATTGACTCTTCTCCTTTGTCTCTAGGAACTTAAACCAGGCAGAGAAAGTTACTACTGGTGATGAAGCCACTGCTCCCTGAACTAGTCAAATCCTATTCACATTACCAAACTGTTGGACAAAACCAGAACCACTTACTTGGAAGTTGAAAAACATTTCAACATACAGCAAGCAACAACCTATACTTAGGGGCCAGGCAGTTGAAGCACCATTTGTTTAAAAAGTAGTGATTTCACTGTCTCTTCAACAAAGGTAGCAAACTGATGATTAAACATTGAATAATCACATCTGGAAGATGCCACCCACTTACTAAACCTATGATTCACTAATAAGCAGGTTCGATGCAATTCATAACTTTAAAGAATGAATTACTAAAGCCCCTTGCTTCACAAATCCCCCAAGAAATATAAAGAATATTCATCCACCGCATGTGTTTACATATATATGTACATACATATACATGAAAACAGTTTACTCTGGGCACCAATAAGATGGTCTCACTGCCTCTAAGAAGACTACTTCCCTTCACAATGTCACACACACTTCATCATTTACATTACCAAACTCCAACTCAGTTCCGCCGAGTTGAAAGTTCTTGCACCTAGGAACGTCTGAACTTCTCCCAAAATAAAATGTCCTACTAAAACAGTAAAAGTACTTATCGTTCTGGTCTTATTTAACTACCTTCAGAACCCAAATTACTAACATGATAGAAGGCAGAAACTCCTGGAATGCTTCAGAGATCAACATGTGTCAGACTCCCAGCCTATCAGCCTCTAAAACACAGTTGATTCCTTTGTTCCTTCAGAGTCAACACCAACTCCTAATTAAAATTTGGAAACCACTTTGGAAAGAATGGGAGGGTCTGTAGAATATTTTCACAGAAACCCTTCCTAAAATAACACTATTCCATAGTAGTACAGACAGCAAAGAGAAAAAAGTAGCCTCCCAGGACTTCCACCCGGCTCACCCTAAATGTGAGCCCCAATTTCTGGCGCAGGAGTAAAACTATGGTGAGGCCTCGGGTCCTAGGGGCCTCGCCCTCAGGAGGCGACGAGCAAGTGCCGGCAGGCCTGGCCTGGGACTGTGAGCTGTGTCCCTTTTCCTGCCCACTCTTCCAGGCCGGGAATTGGGCGAGCCCAGGGCAGGGAGGCACCCGGGCGAAAGGCAGGGAGCTGCGCCTGGCGCCACCCAGGACACCGCTGGGCAGCAGGACCGACAGGCGCGCGGCGCGCCAGGAAAACTCGGGACCACGGGGCAGCCGAGCGGGGAGCGACCCCAGCCCGCGGGCCAGCCACGCGCGTCGGCGCCAGCGCAGGGCTCGCAAGGCGAACGCCCCTCGGTCCAGGACTGGTACGGACTGGCGGGCGAGCCCCGGCTAACTCCACAACTTGCCAGCCCTGCTGCCCCCCGCCCCCAACCGAGTTCTCGAGGAGATTCGTCCCTGCTGCCGTGTCCGTGTCCGTGTCCGCCCCCCTCGCGGACCACGCTGCCCCAGCCGCCCCGACGCCCCCGCGGCCCTGCCGGCCATCGCCAGCGCCGCCGCGGGCCGCGCTCCAGGCCGTTTCCGGCGGCCGCTCCTCGGAGCCCCTGGGCCGCGATCGCCACTCACCCGAGGCCGCCGGGCTCCAACCTCCGGCTCCGTCAGGCTCCCTGCACCAAGGCGCCCGCTGCCTCGTCCTAGCCCGGCACCCCGGCCACAGCGCTTCCCTCCGACCGGCCGCGCTACCGAGCGCAGTGGCGGACGCGAGGCCACGGGCGGGTGCGCGCGGGCGGGCGGGCTGGCGGGCGTGGGGCCGGGTCGTCCCTCCGCCTCACCGCCTCCTCCTCCTCCTCGTCGTCCTCGTCCTCCTCCTCCTTGTCGTCCTCCTCCTCCTCCTTTTTCTCCTCCTCCTCCTCCTTCTCTGCCGCCGCCGCCGCCGCCTCCCGAGTTCGGGGCTCTGCTGCAATGTCTGCGAGGCTGACTTTGAGCGCCTCGCTCGCCGCGCGCCCGCCCGCCCGCAGCAGCGCTCCTCCCTCCGCCGCCGAGTCCGCCGCGGCCCAGTCCCTCCCCTCGCCGCTCCACGCCATTCAGCTCTTCAGCCAAGTTTCTTAACCCTTTTTTTCCCCTCCCTCCCATTGTCACCCGGGCGGGAGGCAAACGCTCGGGTCCCAGGCGCTCGCGGGAGCCGGGCAGCCTTTTGGGTTTTTTTGTCTTCCTCCTTGCCCGTCCTGCGGGTGGCCCAGCGGGGGCTCCAGGGCCCAGAAGTGGCCAGAGGGCCGCGTGGGCTAGGAATGGTGGGTGCTCGGCACACCCCAGCCGTCCCCTTTGGCTCCCGGCTCTGTCCAGCCGCCTGGACAGCTCCTCCCCGGTGGCCGGGAGATCCTTCTTGTTACCCGGGCCAAAAAGGCACGCGTTTGGGACACAACATAGGGATCGAGGTGTCCTTTTCGCCCCGGGGTCCCCGCCAGGGTGCTTGGCGCCTTGAGTGTCTCCCTTCTCCCATTTTCACCGCACAACACGCGTTTTCTTGGCTCCCTTTCAGCCACCCCCAATTTCCATTTTGTAATCTATGTCCTGCTTTTAATCTTGGGGGGCACGGGCACTGTAACTCTAGGTCACTTTGACCCGACGCCCAGCACTTGGCAGTAATAAATGTGCAGAGACTCGGAGAGGAAAACTAGGAAGGAGACCTGAGGAGTGCCCGCTCACTCCCTGGACGGACGTGAACCCAGGAGCAGGGTTTGTCTTCTGCTGCTTTGTCACTGCGAAGTCTCCAGCGGAGTCTGCTAGCCAATCTGCACCATCCCCAGGAAGAATCTGACCCGACAAGACAAGGCACAAGGAACAGGGTTGGGCACTTCTTCAGCAGCATTCTTCGGTTCAAGTCTCCGAATAAATAACAATTACATCAGGCGGCCAGCCTGAGCGGCAGCGCTGTGAAACCTCTCGGTTTCCTGCAGCCTAGACTTGATGAACCCGCCTCTAAACTGGGGGGAGGAGGGGGGGTCAGATTGGTGAAGCGAGAAAGTGGAGGGAGGAGAGGGTCATACGAAACCATCATTTCCCCCTTCTTGTATTTGCTGCTTTAAAAATCGTATCCTCAACAGTCCCCAAACATCTAACTAGAACCATTAACGCCCCCTCAACACCTCCCTAGATGTCAGGTTTCTTTCTGACTCTGCCATCTAGCATTTGGTAACTCGCCATGAAAGGGGAAAAAAAAAAGTCAGGGGAAATGAGTGCTATTGTTGCTGAAATTGATTTTGCTTGACACAAAAATGCTAAAGCACAGTTTAGTCTTACCTTAAATTCTAAAATGTCATGTCTGTGTTAATGCACTTACTAGATAAGACAAATGAGTGTATGGGACACTCCATTCTCACAGGTAGAGTTTCCTTGCTTCAACAATTTGATAGCATTTGGAAACAAAGTTGCTAGTGCACTTCAAAACAAAAATTAGCCAAGTCATAAAACTATTCTATGTCTGTTATGTAATGTGCTTTCAAAATGCAATTTAACCTTTAAAAATATGAATGAGTTCTGGAACACCTTCTCAATCTTGAAAGTGAAAGCAATTTTTCAAATTAATTTTTAATAAATCAAGCTCCTAGCACAGTGTTGGATACATGTTAGGAATATTTTTGCTTAATGGCGATAGCACATTTTAAAACACTTGTATCACCCTACTGATTCGAATGCTGTGCAATCTGTTACCATCTAATGTAGTTTAAACCTCATATAATACCTTATTATTTGCTTATCCCACAGTGCAAAATCTCTTATGGCAAATCAGTAAAAAGCTGTTGTTCTATGGTGTATCATTTATACAGGATTGATACAAAGCAAATATTTCCAATTTAAATGATGATCAGTGTAATTGGAGCTTGGCCCTTTAAGGACAAACTCTTTAAAAAAACCTGTTTTTAACAGTTATACAAAGATTTTCTAAAACATAATCGTTTCCATTTTCTCAAGCAGTTTATTGGACTTTGGTTGGTTTTTTTTTTTTTTTGACAATTCAGTACCACTTTTATTAAAAGTAATTATTGTATAGGTTGTAGTGGACTCAAGACATACTTTGAGTCAGGCATAGTAATCCCAGCACTCACAAGGTGGGGGGAGAGCGGGGGAGGCAGAAAGAGTGCAAATTTGAGGCCAGCCTGTGCTGTTTAGCAAGTTCACCACCTGAGCTACATAGCAAGACCCTGTTTCAAAAAACAGAGATTAGAGATGTAGCTCAGTGGTAAAGGTCTTGGGTTTAATCCTTGGCATCTTGAAAAAAAATAATAATTTCTCTCAGCATGTTCTCTAGGTGTTGGGAATGCTCCCAAGAGGCATACAAGCCATCAGTTGCTGCCCAGAAGGCTGCCCTGACTGCGATTATCTCTACCTTCTGTAGTTTCTCTCTCTCTGCCTGGACTCCTAATATGTTGTCCTTTCTCTGTTACCACCACTGTCGCCGCTAACATTTCCTTACTCATCCGATTGCCGGCTTCTAGTCTGGTGCAGACTAAGAATCCAGATAGCCTCACTTGTCACAATTCTGGCTAAAGTAAAACTAACAGATTCCACGTAAGAGAATGATATGCTCACCAAGGAATAAGGCACATGCACCTTAGTGTATTGACTGGGACAGATATTTGGACTACTCTAACATTGCTTTAAAAAGCATTCTTCTTGCTTCTTAAGCAGGTTTTGGATCACTGAGATTGTCCAACAAGCCAAATATTAGCCCTGCCTTCCAACATCAGTGTTAGAAATTCACTGCCATATGTTAAATGACTTACCAAAGCTGCTCACTTCTTACTAATTTATCTTCTCAACCCCATAAAAACACAATTATTAAAATCCTGAACTCTTTTTGATGGTGGGTTAGTGTTAAGTAAATGGTACACCTCTTGTAGAATTCATTTTAAATTAATGATGCTAATGGTGTGGAGACTGTTGTTCTCTGTTTAAAATAAACAAAAAAACCCCAATACCCAAATTTCCAGGATAAGAGGGTCATTGCAAGGACACTGGAACATATAATTAATATAAGAATGCCTATACAGTAATTTGTATTTTGAAGCCAACTCTCATTGGGCTGTTTGAAATGTGAAAAGATGACATTCAGTCATGATAAGGTCATGACTCTGTATGGTCTAATGCTGCCAGTATAGGCTCAATAGTCCTATCTGCTACAAAGCCTGAGAAAGATATGTTTTTGATGCATTCTCTAAATCTTTCATGTACAACACTTTCCAAACCATTTTGTGACCCAGTATTTACTCATTGGTTTCCCACTGTAGAATGCAAGTAGTATAGGCACAGAGCCCATATCCCGCTTGGTCACATTTGGATACCTTCAACCACCTACTCTTGTGCAAACAGTAGGCATTCAGTAGATTGTGGTCATAGCCCAAGGACAGATCATTTTATTTTCTGTTTGGGGTATGAGTATGAGATGAGGGGGTTCGGACAACATTTTACAAAGAAAGTAATACTTCAGCTGGGTATTAACAAGTAGGAAGAATTTGCCAGGTAGAAAAACAAGAAAGGGTTTCACAGACTGTTTAACAGTAAAGAGGTGTAAGAAAATTTAAAATATGCATTGAGAAGTATTGAACCCCTATTATGCACTATAGGTGGAACTATGAAGAGATGTGTATATCTGATCATATGCAAATGGAGCCCCAGTACAGTTATGTTGTTAGTTAGCCTCTTGAGTAGTACTGTTTAGTAAAAAATATGACATGAATCACAAATGTGAGCTACATGTGTGAATCTGAAATTTCTAGCAGCCACGTTTACAAAGTACAAAGAAATAGGTAGTGCTAATTAGAATAGTGCACTTTAATTAGCTCAGTCTATCCAAAATATCTCAATGTGTGCACCTCATAAAAATAATTAGATATCTTATGACTTTTTATTCTTTTGAAGAGTAAGTCTTCAAAATCTAGTGTCCTTCACACAGCACATCTTAATTTGGACTAACACTCAAATACTCAGCAACCATATGTAGAACAGCTCTAGACAATGTAGAGAATATATGAAACCTTTAATGGTATAGTTAGAGAAATTTTTCTTAAAATGAAAATCTAAATATTGTAAAGTTTAACATTTTATTTGTGTTGATTACTGGTGTTTAACTTTACTGTCTCATAAAGCCCACTTTCGTATGGCTAGGCTTTTATACCAATTAGAGAATCAGCAAAGATTACATTTTATGTACTGTGTCTTCATTAACCATACTGTAGTTACAACTACAGTATCTATTAACTCTGGTGGTGGACTGTAAATATAAAGTGTCTTTATGGCAGAAATAAAACACTATAAATTTTGGGTTGAATAAGCTTAAAAAAAGTCTTCCCTAGAACATGAAACTACATCTATGCTGGTCACTGTCAAACATCTTCCTAGCTATAGAAGCCCAGGGAATTGCTTTTTAATTCTTCCATGCCCTCTTACGTGTGGACTTCAAAATCCATTCCAGCTTTCATTTGGGGCAGTCACCTATCCCAAGCCATAGTAGTAAGGATATGTGGCAGCTCCCTGAGTACTGAGATCTAAAGAACTAAAATGAAGACATTTAGACACCCTGGCTGCAGGTTAGTGTGTAGTTTTCCCTAATGGGATTGGAGTTCTTTTACTTTCAGTGGAACTTGAGTGCCAAGAGCTGGCAAAACGAGGGCACTCAATTTCTACACTAAAAGGAATTCTGAAAATTGGATCTCAAAAAAAGAGAAAAGTCTAAAAATGATTGTGTCATGGAGCTGAAAGTGTGCAAGAAAAAGGCAGATGCCTCAGTGAAACACAAATGTGGATGACAGCTTGTCATTCCTTCTCAAAACAAGAAAATACTTAGAATA